GGTGCCCCCCTACAAAGGCCCGGGGGGGGGCCGGGGGGGGGGGGGGGGGTGTCCTCTGAAACCCAACCTCTGCTCAGCAAAAGGGGATTCCGGGGCCGCTGGGCTGAACGGGCAATCGCTCGGCCCGCTGGAAAGGGCTGCGAGCCGTCAGCGCCGTGTCCTACAACTCAAAAGCTGGGCCCAAGTGGAGACCCCCAAGGTCACAGGCTGTCAGTAAGACAGCCTACACCTGTTGCAGTTTTTTTTTAACCAGACCCTTCCCCCCCCCCCCACAAAGTGACGGGCAGTGTCCCTGCAGCACTTCCTTCCTCTATCTTATCCCACCGAGAACACAACGAGGCAGGTCAGGTCTAGAGGACACAACTAGTCCACAGTTGCCCCGTGAGCATCACGGTCAAGTCGGGATTTGAAGCAGCCCTCGTGCAACACTTCAGCTAATAGAGACTGCGCTGCCCTACATTAAAGCATCCAAATGAATGTTTCTAGCAGAGCTTAGACAGGCAAAGCATCGGTGCTGGAAAAACCACAGAGTCTCAAAAGAGAAAGGACAGATCTACAGGAGCACCAATGAGAGCAACTGTCATTCAACACACACACACACACACACACACACACACACACACCCCTCTCCATGCCTTGGAACCTCTGCCCTGTGAAGGTGCCCAACCCTTTATGTTAGAGACCTTCTGCCCCCTCAAAGGGAGCTGTGATAATGAAACAGGATGAAATCTTATTTATGTAGAGAGTTGTTGTTGTTCAGTCGCACAGTCGAGTCCGACTCTCCGCGACCCCATGGACCAGATCACGCCAGGCCTTCGGGTCTTCCGCCGTCCTCTGAAGTTGGCTCAATTTCATGTTCGTTGCATCTGTGACACTGCCTAACCATCTCATCCTTTGCCATCCCCATCTTCTTTGACCTTCAGTCTTTCCCAGCATCAGGGTCTTCTCCAGTGAGTGCTCCCTTCTCATTTGGTGGCCAAAGTATTTGGGCTTCAGTTTCATTATCTGGCCTTCCAGGGAACAGTCAGGGTTGATTTCCTTTAGGATTGACTGATCTGATCTCCTTGCAGTCCAAGGGACTCTCCAGAGTCTTCTCCAGCTCCATAGTTCAAAAGAATCTATTCTTCGGCGCTCGGCCTTCCGAGAGTAGAAAGTAGAGAGTAGAAAGGCCAAAATGAGCACAGACATATCCATCATGGCTAATTCCATAGGATCATAGAATGTTAGAGTTGGAAGGGACCTTGCAGGTCATCTAGTCCAACCCCCCTGCACTCCGCAGGAGCATAGCGGAAATTTAAAGCACTCCCCTCCCTTCCCCGTCCACCCAATGCTCCGGCCAACACTGGTCTAGACAAATGAAGCATAAAATCCTGCTGCTGGACTTTCTCACTTCGGGGGGGGGGGGCGTGTGAAGGCTGCCCTGTGTAAGAACACACACACGCGCCCACACACGCCCACCCTCGTTCCCGGCATGCAGGACATTAACCTATCAAGAGTTTCACCCAGACCTTTTCTTGTTTCGAGGGGATGAAGTCCTCAGACTTGACAGTAATCCCACCCCCAGCATCACCCCCCACTTGCACTGGTCTGGTCCAGGAAGGACTTTGCCTCTTCATCGGCTCTCTGGGCAGCGTGGACGTTGGGCCTGGGGGACGCAGGGCCGTATTCGTGGGGCAGCCACCCAGCGCCTCTCCTGGCAGTGAAACCTAGAAGGCATCCGCCACCCATCTTTAAAACCACGGGGGACATGAAAACGGAGAGCGAAGGCATGCCGGGGTGGGGGCACCACTGGATCCGGGCGTACACTCGGGGTGGTCGCAGGGGAAAGCCGCTGCCTTCCCAGGAGCCAGGAGCATCGAGGCCTGTGCATGGGCGGGCATGTGCTTCACACTCGGCCTCCGGCTATATTTAAGCCACACAAGCTCTGCAAGTGCCGCTCGTTTCCTTCACACGTAACTCCACACCCCGCCCACTCCCTCGGCTGTGCCTCATCGCCGCCGCCGCCAAGGATACTGAGCAGCTACAGCTTCACGGTTGCTATGCAACCACAGGCCGCCTGATCGGTCCATGTGACGTATTCTCTCCCACGGCATCCTGAAAGGGGCAGCGCTCTGCGGAGACGCGGGCCTGGAAGGCTCTGCAAACCCTTTTGCCCTTAAACCCCGGAGGGATATAAAGAGTTAATCCGTTCTGCGAATTCGTGGCCTGCCTCGGGATTGGGGCTCAGCATCACTGACACGAAAGGGCGGGGGGGGGGGGGGGGGATAAATCACAAAGCCAACACTGGCCCACACACACACACCCCCAACCGAAGATGGCAAAGTGCACGGCGGAGGGACGGTGGCCAAACTGCACTGTGCCAGTCGCTCGGGGAGAAACGTGGAGGTTAAAATGGCACAGAGGTACTACACGTGGCAGGAGGGGGGGGCA